TCTCTTTCTATCTCGTCGTCGTGGACATGTGGCCCTCCCTCGTCTCCTCGTCGTCTGCTCTTTGTTCTGATCGTGATGAATGTTGGTGAACTGGATCCAGAAGCTCTCTGTCAGAATCTTTTCTTTCTCTCTGATCTCGTCAGTTTCTCTCGTTCTTCTATAAACTTGTAATGAATGTTTGTCAAAGCTCCAAACAGCTGTGGAGTCCTTTTGCTCTTCAGTTTGTCATAATCGCCTCCATCTGTCTTCTTCTTCTTCCTTCCCTCCATCATTTCTTCACCTCGTCCTCTGATGAACGGCTGAGGACATCCCTCTCACCTCCTGCAGCTTGTCTTCTGGCCTTCCTCCACCCCAGCTCATCTCTTTGTTCCTCCTTAGTTCCCTCCCCGTGCTTTAAATGCTACGAGGTGATGGCTGAACTGTAGATGTCGGTAACCTGACCTGGATATCCATCGACTTGCTGTTTGGCTTCAAGAGAATCTATTGTGGCTTTTAATGATTAACGGCGTCTCTGCTGATCTGTGTCCACAGCTCGGTGGCCGTGCTGAGGGAGTGCATGAAGAACGAAATTCTGGTTCGTTTCTTCCAGGAGAGGCAGGCGACCCTGAGCCACTCCTTACCGCTGGAGACGTACCTGCTCAAACCAGTGCAGAGGATCCTCAAGTACCACCTGCTGCTACAGGTGACCCTTCATACCACCTCATACTACAAGTTATATCGCAAATACTACCAAATACTGCATGCGGTGCCTGAAATACCTCCAGATATACAAGTTCAACTCCAAATACGATCAGATGTTGGACATAGCACCTCAAAAACAGGTTGTACTAATGAATACTGCTTATAGAACCTCAAATACTGCAGGTGAGAATTTAAATGCTATCAGATACTGTGCACATGAAAGCCTGTTACTTGGTCAGGTGCCACCTGCAGGTGCATCCAAACACCTCAGATTCTAGTAGTTGAGTAGTAGCTCAACATCTCAAATACTAGCTTTAGTTCAGCATAAATGGCTAGATGAGCACCTGCTTCCACAGGTAACACGTCCTAAGGACCAAACGTCCTGATTGGTACTCGTAAAGCTTTGGTCTCCAGGCAACAGGTCTGTCTCCTGTCAGTAAACAGAGGGTCAGGCTGAGACCTCTCAGCGCGTCGCGTCTTTAAAGACGAGCGGTGTGCGTCCTCGGCTACGTGTGCGGGGTTTTTCCCAGGACCAATAAAACGAGGATAAACTCTGACATCATCTCAGAGTCTAAACTCTCTGCTCTGCAGCTGCTCTGTCACAGCTTCCTGTCCTCTGACCGCAGGTCCTTTACCGTCTGTGCTGCAGTGAAGTGCAGATATCCTTCTGCTGATACATCAGGAGTCTCGTGACACGCTAACGTGTGTGCACGTGTAGGACAGAAGTGATTAAAACGGCTGTTTCACAGACAGGGACCGACTGAGACTAGCCGTGGTCAGTTGCTGTCTACAACACAGCTGTGCAAAGACGCCGAGTCAGTGTGCAGTCACATGCAGTCTGTCAGAGATGAATTAAACCGTGAATCTGTTGCCATCTGCACGCACAGAAATTTGCATTATTTACTTTAATTCAGAGTCTGTGCAGAACGCAGAGATCTGACACTGCAGGACGGACATCTAACTGCCAACCATACACAAGATCACGACCGGAGGACAGTCAGCGAGTCGGCTCTGCAGTGCAAAGAGTTGGTTGAGGTTTGAAACTACAGCTGCCTTAAAACTCAACTTATCTGATTTCATTGTGTAGAAGAAGTAGAGCCAGCGGACTCACGTTAACGTGACAGGAAGACTCGTCGATCAGCCGTAAGCTCTGCTTCTCGTCGTCTTTGTTGAGTCAGTTTTGGCACAAACACCAAACAGATGCTGGAGCCCGTTTGTGCCGCAGTCAGCACCAGGAAACGGTGACTCTGTTAAATCACACGAGAGCGAACTGCAGGCTCGTCGTGTTCTCGTTATTCTGAGAAGAAGCTCAGCAGACGTTTGAAACAGACGAGTCTAAGTTAACGACTCGCAGCACAAAATAAACCCACACGTGTGTAAATCTGCGTGCACACAAATGCATTATAACCTTGTGCAGGTGCCAGATGATGCTACAGTATCATTGTGTGTATTATTGTGAACATGAGTCAGAACGGATAAAACGATGGGAACAAGCTGAAGCGGTCCGGTTTAGGAGCAGAACCATTTGTTCTTCTGTGCCAAATTCCCATCGTTAATAATCACATCTGGCTGAATGGAGACTTGTGCTCCAGATGTTTAACATGACGCACAAACACCTGGAAGAGGCGAGGACCTGTTCATCACGTCTGTTCACACGGAGCAGGCTTTAAAGGAGGTCCTACGGTGTGAAGCCGAAGCCGCAGAGGCCTTCTCACTCAGCCGTCTGCTCCGTGAAGCAGGAACAGCTTTCCCAGTGAACGTGCCGAGTCTCCTCACTGGTCCCAGTCCAAGCCCAGCTCTAGGAGCGGGCGGGAGGATGACACAGCTGAAGCTGCTCTTTGTTCTCGCTCGTTGGTCTGCAGGAGTTGCCGCTGCCGCTCTGATGACGGCAGCCAGTTTAAACATCGGTCAAACACGTGTTTGGAT